ATATTCCCTTCACATTCCACTGTATTACATAACCATCTTTGAGCTGAGGCAGTTATGGTTCTACAACCATCACCAGTTCTCTTGTTACTATTTGTATTTACCCCTCTGTCATTCTGTCAACTATAACTTTAAGTTATTAGGGAGCATACCATTCGGGGATATTAATAAGTTGGAAATAGGTTAGGAAAGATAGGAAATAATTCGATATACAACACGAATTAAACAGAAATGAATTGTTTGTGAGTTTTCTCGAATTTGCTGAGACTGTATTCCATACGATAACGAGCAGCCGTGACTTGCGTAATGACACCATGAACGTGTTATGATGATACATTCACTATCATCCGTGAGTCGTGTTTCATATTTAAAGTTAGTAAAAAAGTCAACTTCATTGAAATTATGAAGCATTTTAGATGTGGTCACCACATGTGATAAGAGAATGAGTCATTCTTGAAGATAGATATAATACCGAGCCATGCCACAATGATTGTATGAATGACCTTTGAACTGATGTACTGTTTGAGTTTGTTAACTTGTTGACTGTACGTAGAAGCTTAGTCTGAGACTGCCTGCCGAAATCAACACAATGAGTGGACGGGTTGGTGATCTGTCTCCAAAGCAGGAGGAAAAGTTGGCTGAGGTAATCACTCGCGTGTTTTCAAATGTGCAGCGACGTCATTGCACATGTCACGTGTAGATGTCACTTATAAAAACGGTGACGTACTTGCGTGCATGTAAAGATTTTGATACTTATTCGATTAAGTGCCGCTATGACATTTGACTATATATTGTTTAATGGAACTTGGTCTTCTAGTTTATTTATAATAGTTCAGAAGTTCTATTGAACCTTTATTCAGCGCGACAATAATGATCGACCATGCTGTACTATGCACCCATGCCATGGCAAAGGTTTCGTGTCGTGAGATAAGGCTATGTAAACGCCAGGGATTTACATTCGGGTCACTATAAACTATACAGTATGAACGTCAGCACTTTTCTGTTTGGTTTGATGACGTAGTTGACGCATGGCACAGATAAATTCACGTGTCAGCGACTGTTGAAAAAAATCACCAAGAGAAGCGAGAATAGCATTTGAAAAAACTACGTACATAAAATATGATGATCAATATTTCGAACACAACACTCGAAATAAGCACTGCATTCAGCTAAAATGTAAATATAATATTATAAAAGCCGACATTAGCTGAATGAATATTTAAATTATATTACATTTTGGTCCACATATATATTGGTTGTGTCTTCTGATGTACTACAAAGTAAGCTTGAATCAGAATAGGTGTAAGGCACTACGCTCAAACGAATATGTATGAGTTTCGTTATTAACAAGTACATTTCATTGTATTTTTCATTGACATGATGTCAGTTTAAAGAAAAGCTGGTGGACATTTTAATCAAGCCTGAACACGATGACTACTATTGCCTGAAATGGTTAAGAGGTATATTTCTATTTAAATCTGTATTCACTTCATATACCGGCGCAACTGCGCGTATGTTGGCGCACACAGTAATGTAAAATTGGAATATTTATTGCAATAAGTAACAATGTGATATGTTATGTAATACATTATGTAACGTATTACAGTAAATAAATAGTACAATTAAGAACAACCCTAGTAAACTGAAAGTAATATTGCAGTGTAATGCATGTAGTAATATGTAAGTAAGCGACGCATACAATAATTAATGCTTTATTACATGTAGTAACACATATTAAGTAATACTACACGGAGTAATACATGTAACCTGTAATGCAACAGTAGTAATGCGTGTAGTAATATTACAGCAACATATCAAATCAGTAATATACACTCAGTACATATTACAAGTGATAATTAACGTACATAGAAATATTAAAAAGATAAATAAATATGTAATGAATTGACATGGAAATATAACGTATATTCTTGTCTTAATAGCAAGGGGTTTTGATGTGGCGAAAGCAGAGACAATGATAAGAAAGGTGAGCGTATTGAAATTGTTGTGTTGGCTGCCTTTCCTTAGCGAAACGTGTGTTTCAAGCAAAGCTGTCTGACAACAGCTCGAAATTGAATGATTGATTGATTGATTTAATAAAGAATTGATTGGTCGATTGCAGCACATGGAAACAAGGAAGAAGATGGGATTGGACACAATAATCACTGATTACAAAGCACCAGAGGTATTATTGAATTCTTTTTCAGCACATCCCAAATGTCATGGCAACAAAGAAGCTAAACGTTTAGAAACATATCAGAATGAACATGATAGATGTTAGATGCGGCGTTGTATAACAGTGCTTGATTTGGGTTAGCGGTAATCCTAGTCCGGTTTCGTTACGTGAATGCGTTCGAGCATTGATAGGTAATGGACACTTTATTGATATTAACAATCTGTGGATCAGGATATATTGAACATAAAATGCAAATGTACGAAAAGGTAAAAACTAAATCGTTTAATGAACTTTCACTAAGTTTTATATTAATTGAATGTGGTAATTTATCTGATAGGTAATGGAGAAATGCTTTCAAGGTGGCTTTGTGGGGGAGGATAAAGACGGTAATCCTGTCTGGATTGATCCCATAGGGAATACCGATCCTAAAGGTAATGTATCCGTCCTATTCATGATGTCATACCTATCAGCACTATCAGGTGTAACCACGCGTGCTTGCCGTAAACTAGACGAATGCGCTCATATCTGAATCTTATTGGCTATCATTTATTTTAATCAGGGTTCCTGAGGTCTATTCGAACCTCTGACATCACGCTTTCCAGATTGCAGTTCACAGAACGGACACTCACAGAGATATTTCCAGCCATGAGCAAAAAAGTGAGTTTAAAATATTGATGTATTTTGTCGGTAGTACATTTTTCCATACATATCCTTATAACATCACCATGTAGAAAATCCATAAAAACGCACAGAATTTAAAATTATGCGTTGGTTTAGAGTGTTCAAAAAAGTATTGTAAGATCGACGAGTTTTACCTGAGAGTATGCTGTGTAAACTATGCATGTATTGCTTGTATTTTAGCACGGAAAACGAATCGATGAATTGACATATGTCATGGACCTGGAAGGGCTAGGGACAAGACATCTATGGAAACCTGCTGTAGACTATGTTAATAAGGTTGTACATATGCATATCAAGTTCGATGTCTGCTTCACCCATTTTAACATAGAACACATAAATATATATAATCGTTTTGGTTATCTCCTTCGTTAGTTTGGAACCATCATTCAAGCCAACTATCCAGAGTGTCTGAAAGCTCTATATATTGTAAGGGCGCCGAAGATTTTCCCACTTGTCTATGCACTGATCAAACCGTTTATCGACGAAAACGTTCGTAAGAAGATACACGTGTTGGATGGTCAGTTAATTGTATTATGTCCGAAGAACCTAGGTCAACAAACATTATATATTTTAATTGTATAGATAACACCAATACATCATATATGTTGTAACTTTTGTTTTAATACTTCTATATTTTTTTTTCAGATAATTTCCAGTCAACATTGTTAAAGTACATACCGGCCGAGAGTCTTCCTGTTCATTGGGGAGGCACTATGACTGACCCGGAGACTGGTGATCCCAAGTGTGCTAGTATAGTAAGTATATGATCATGAATGTGTTCGGAATATAGATAAATATATAATATTGGTATGTAACGCATTACACAGTAGTTGATATTCCTTGCTTGCAGATAAATCCTGGTGGCAAGGTTCCCGAGAAATATTATATGCTGGAAGTCGAAATGCCTTACGAAAAGTACTTGAAAGTGGAACTTGTCAAAAAGAAGTTCGATTTGACATTTGAAGTGACAAAGCTAGGCAGCGTAATCCGGTGAAAATCAAATGTTCAAATATATTAGTATAAAACATATGAGAAAAACTATAATGTATAGATACAGATTATATACCATGCCCAGCTATATATAGTCTACAAGACGGATTTTACCCAATGACGCCAATAAATCAAGTCGTTTTCCTCTATATGGCGACATAATGATGTCTCCTACAACCTCTGAAAAGGCTTTTCCGTTGTAGAACGCAACTGAGTATTCATTCGATGGTTTAATTTTAATACTGTTTTTGCAGTATGTATTTTAGAGTACTGTATTAAAACATATATGTTTTCGTCTATATTGTATTTTTGAATATTATAATATAATTGTAATATAATCTTATCACGCAGGTATGTATTCAAAACCGATGAAGGGGACATAGGACTAGCTGTATTTCTACAAACGGGCTCAAAGGAGTTGAAACCATTCCAACCCCTCGAGAAATATAATAGTCACCTCGTGTACGAGGATGGGAGCATAGACTGCCAAGAAATCGGAACATGTAAGTTGTTTTTATGATTACGTAATGTCGTGTGATATACATGAAAGACGGGTGTGCCAATGTCTTCTGATCACAAAGTGTCTCCCATATAATCGATTTCATTACGAACAAACGCTAATCCTTTTGATTTCGATTTCAGACATCTTAAGGTTCGATAACTCACATTCATGGACCAAGAATAAAACTCTACATTACTTTGCTGAGGTCGTCGAGCCGGATGAATTGATTGAAGAGATGAACACTGATTTGTAACACTTGTACACCTTGGATCCCATTTCTGATTATTCAGATAACTCGAATTTTTAAATGAACTTTCTATGGTACACTTTAAACATAGTGTCAGTGTCAGTGTTCAGTGCAATATGTGAATGAACAAACTATAAACGCAGAACTGTTCACTTGTAAACTCGTGTATATTATGATTTATTAATATTGAGCTTTGCGTTGAATAATCACATCACTTGACATGTATATTAGTAGTCATTCATATGACTACTATATTTCGAATGTATCGTTACTGTCATAAGAACTGTGTCTGCAACGAAGACGATGCATATCATTGTAGAAAGGAAATATACAAATCAATAATGACCTCACGTACACATACAAATCAAGATAAAATAAAGACATATAGACTTTAGCTATGCTTGAAGTGATTTCAGTTGATTCTAATATTCTGCACCACATAGTCTCAATCAAGTGGTTTGTGTTTGAAATATGATGTATACACAAGACAAGCGACATTTCAGTTATCTGAAATCACGTAAAACACATCTTTGAATGTGGTAAGTAGTTCACTGCGGAATTACTTGTTTAACAACATGGATGAAAGTTGACATTGTCATTTTAAAAAGTCAGCATGTGTTTACAGGACCTGACATATACGAAACAGAATCTTCAGTTTCCTTAATCACAAATTTTTATTTTTTTCTGTAAAAATAACGGTTTCATTATATTGAGAAGTTAATCGACCAACAGGATAATACAATTCGCTTCCATTGGGATGCAAATACTTTTTTATTTAAAAACAAACAAACATTTCCTTCAATTTCGACAAATATGATGTCAATTTGAATTTCTAGCATGACGAGAATGTCAATTTCACTGTAGTATAACGTAAGCCACTACTATATATTTGTACCTGAAGTTTATCATGCGATATATGTCATACTCATGAGTGATCTTAATTTAAATTTTAAATATCTACATACGATTTCTAGGATAAATGACATAAATGTAATTCGTAAGCATTTACATAAAAGCACATTTTAAAAGATTAAATAACTCCTTGATTGAACACTTAAAGACTCAATCACCTTTGCACGGTGTTTTATAGAGTTTAGATATGCAATATAAGACACGCAAGTCATTCATGTCTTCCTTGCCAGGAATTGGGATATTTATTATGAATGACCTGTGATTAGCAAGAAGTGGCATTATTATTTCCAGTAATCCAAAGTTCTCTAGTGAGGATTTTATAATAATAATTAGTCTTGGAAATAAAACCTGTAAGTGTATCAGGAATATATAATATAACATCTTTTATTGATTTAGTTCGAGTTCAGCTGTTACAGTTAGAATTGTTGGGGAGCTGTATTGACCAAACTTTATTGTTAACATCAAATGTCAGTAACGTTAAGTCGTCATCGGTTCCTTTGAATATATTTTACATCCCATGTAATTCACTTGGTAAAACTCATAATTTGAAATTGTTGTTGTCCATATATGTTCATATGTGATAAACGGTGCCGCCTCATCATACCATTCCACGCTCTCAACGAAAGTAAATCCTGTTCATTGCGATATCTAATTATGGTGTCACTGCGTGTACCAGGCCCGACCTTACCTATGTGACCTTTGATTTAGAAAAGTAGGTTGACATCATTAATGCATATTTATTAGGTACCGGCAACTCGTTGTGTTGCATTAGTAAATGCCAGCTAGACATACAACATGAGTGCACCAGTTTCTAGCAAGTTGACCCCCAAGCAGGAGCAGAAATTGAAAGAGGTAAGTTTTTCGCGTGTCACGGAAAGAGTAAAACGATATCGTACCTGAGTAACAATGTATACCAGTATCCATAGCAACGTGTCGTTGAGTATAACATTTACAAATAGTAGATTTGTTGAATTCTGGTATATATGTACGTACAGCACATTTGCTATACGATTCGTGTGTGGTCGAAATTGAACGTGGCGCTTTGATTGGTCACATTTGTAATGAGGAAATTATTTTTCAGTCATTCAAAAGGCGACATGCATCAATAATTTTATCTGACCTAGCTCTTACACTAAAAGTTCAAAGATCGTTATAGATAATAAACAGTAATTGTGACTATAACAGTAACTATGCTTTGTAACTCATTGTCATTTAGAAAAAAGTCTAGTTATAACCTTCATAACTTTTATCTCACAAGTCAGGCATTACTCCAACTGAACGTTGTAGTTAGTTTAATACCATGGTATAATTTACATTGTGTTGAGATATCGTCATGACGCAGTTTGTGGACAGTACCTGTGACGTAACGTGAGAAAATCTTGGCGTATACGACAGTACACACAATACAGTAGTGCTATCTCCCAGTAGTATGTAGAATGTCACGCTCACTATGATATGAATGTTGCGTCATACCGATTACGCCCATGTGATCAATATTATCCAATCATCCACCAATCATTGCATAACTTGATTTGAACTTGTCCATTGTTTTCAATCATCATGTTTTAGTATTAATTTGATAAAATATTTGTGATTTCTTCTATACATTCAGTTCAAAATACGAGTTAAAGATATCCTGGTTAAACCCGAACATGATGATCATTACTGTATAAGATGGCTGATAGGTGAGAGGACTTCAATCACTTTGTTTCACATTGTGTAATGTTGTTTCAGTAGGTGTATCATTGCTGTAATTACAATATAATTAACAATCCAATAAATCAGGATCCCTTTTTTAACAGCCAGGAATTTTGATGTGAATAAAACGGAGCTTATGATAAGAAATGTGAGTATAGTAAACGCAAATACGTCGACAGTGCTCTCAATGATGTATTATTTACGCATACATAAATAACAATATAGTATTAGCATCACTAACAAATATTTGTAATCAAATGCAGAGTATGGAATCTAGAAAAAAAATGGGGTTGGACACAATAATTACAGATTTCAAAGTACCAGAGGTAATGAGCATACTTAACAACAAACGCTGATTGTCAACTCTAAGTTGGGTATTAGAAGTGATATTGAAATTTACCAAATTTTGTCGTTCAAAAATATCATATAAAAAATATTGCCATTTTGTGTGAAAATGGCGTAAAAACTAATATGGAAAACAATTTTATTGACACATTATCCGGTGACATTCGGTGAAAAGAGTTCAGTTTGTTCCGAAATAATTGTTTAGGCTGTTTCTCTTCAACAATGCTATTGTAGGTAAAACAAAAGAATTTTCATATTGTGAGTAACCCTACAATGTCTGATACTACTAAATGAGTGTATGAATTGTCATTTTTTTGTTGAAAAGAGCGTATATTTAATTTGCATAAATTATCATAGTTTATAAAAAAAATCACCGTCAGGCGATTGAGGAATATATTTATTTACGTTTTCAGGAATTAATTTTTCAAACAAAGTAATTTAAATTTAAATCTGTAGTTGCATTCGACGAAGAATGACCATGAATATGATTACACTGCTTTATCAGAACTGCTATGATATATAAATATTTATGTATATAACACGTGATTCATTGTAAAGCTGTACGTTTTGTGTTGCCTTCACAGGTTATGGAGAAATACTACCCGGGTGGAATTGTGGGGGAAGACAATGACGGAAACCCGGTGATGATTGATAATATCGGAAAAATTGATGCAAAAGGCAAGGTTATTAAAGTTCATTGTCATATATGTTTATTGAGAGACTTTCACATATGCATAATATGTGAAACATACCATTTAAATACCAATTGTTAGGGTATTCGGTTCGACATGCTTCATCACAATTTCAAAAATGTACCGATCATTTTCATATTTTTTGATTTAGTTGCTAAGTTGCCTCACTTTACAAATGATTTTTTTCATTTTGTCCAATGATTTGAAGATAATTCATTCAGCCTCTCAAAGTCAACGCATAATTATAACATTGTAATTATTATGTTAATAACATCTTATGGTTATTTGTAAGACGATGCATCGTCTGATTATGAAAATAATTCAATTGAGAGATTCAAATGTATATTGTAAATCTTCAGGATTGTTGAGGTCTGTCAAATCAAAAGATATCACACTAAGTAAGATGCAGGAGATGGAACACATTTGCCAAGAGCTTTTCCCGGCTATGAGTAAAAAGGTTTGTATCTCGAACCACTCAATGGGTCTGAATTGTACTCGGTGATATTAGGGAAAATAAGAGACGGTAAACACGATATGCACATTAACATTTTAATTATTGATAACATAAGCTGTCTAATTTTAATCTCAGTATGGTAAACACATATACGGATTAACTTATATAATGGATTTAGAAGGATTAGGAACGAAACATTTATGGAAACCGGGTTTGGATATGTTCAATCTGGTAAGGATTTTTAGGTTATTGATAATCGATTTATTAATTCCAATTCATTATATGGTAAATGGTATATGTTAGGCGATGAATTATTAATGCATTCTGTGTTATCCGTTCTAACAAATTGCACCAGGTGTGAACAATGCACGTCAACTTATTGAATATATATATTTATATTGAATATATATATTTATATATCCAGATGACAATGTAGACATATTCTATTCTATTCTAATTGACTTATTATCTGAACAGGAAAATACATTACTCCAAGACAATTACCCTGAATGTCTAAAAGTCATCTATATAGTCAGAGCACCGAAGATATTTCCCGTTATCTACTCGTTGGTTGAACCATTCCTTGATGACAAGATGCGTAAGAAGATCCACGTTCTTGGGCGTGAGTATCAACTTATTCATCATTTGTATAAAGTGTATTGCATATTGTACTGCCGAGTAACTGACACGTGTTATGATTAGATTAAAATGTTTATAAATATTATATTATTTTCACAGAAAACTTTCAATCAACACTGCTAAAGACTATCCCAGCAGAAAGTCTTCCTGTTCATTGGGGAGGCACCATGACTGATCCCAAGACAGGTGACCCCACATGTCCGAGTTTGGTAAGTGGATTGAATTTTTACCATGTTGGAATTACGTGCACGGTTCATAATATACCTTATGAGAGTAATCATTGCAGATCAACCCAGGGGGGTCTGTCCCCGAAAAGTACTATAACCAGGAACCCCCAGTACCAGAAGATAAGCGTCTTAGAGTCGAAATTGTCAAGAAGAAGTTTGACTTGACGTTTGAAGTTATAAAGAAGGACAGTATAATTAGGTAAGCACGACATGGTTGTCTAAGGTTTTCCGATCATTCATTAGAAAGTGTTATTGAACGTTCATAACATTCAGTCTTGAAATACAACATGAAATAAAAAAAAAAGATAGTTATATTTTATTTCCGAAATTTTAGGTACGTTTTTAAGACTGAAGAGGGCGATATTGGCATGACTGCATACCTGCAGACGAAGTCAATGACTATGGTGAAAGAACTGGAACGATATAATAGTCATCTAGTGTACGAAGACGGAAGTTTAGATTGTCCACAAGTTGGAACATGTGAGCATTGTTTAATTTATATAGTAGAACCTTCGCTGGGTAGTCTGTCACCAGTATCGATGTGAAAAGTATAGTCATTTGTACGTAAGTGTGTCATCCTATTACCACAGTCACGTGGTATGCTGTTGTTAGTTCTACATTTCACACTAGATACATGATTTTACATATCTTTCCTTTCAGATATCTTAAGATTTGACAATAGTCATTCGTGGATGAAGAATAAAACCTTACATTATTTTGCCGAAGTAATCGAGCCGGATGCCCTGCTGGATGAACTGTCTACTGATTTATAAGACGATTAACTTAAACTTGTTTATGTTTGTTTGTGTGTTGAATATAAAATTACTTATACTCTTATTAACCGTTCATTACAATATATGATAGCAGTGAATATAATTCTATTAAATTGTCAAGTATATTTGGGATGTAAACACAAACTTTATACGTCTATCATATTCTATGCAATTTCAGATCACCTAAATGATATGAATCACCAGTGTATCAGGTTTCTAAATATAAATTACATTCAAGTAGTAGTGTCAATTGATGTTAACTTGTGTAATTGATATTACAACAAGGCCTAGACGGGATCTGGGAAATCTGGGAAATGGCCGACGAGATCTCGTTGAGGGCGAGAGAGCCACGTATGTTTTTTAAATGTATCCCCGCAAATAATGTTTTATACTCTTCCGTTGACGTGCCCACTGTTCCAAATCCTAAGATGACATAGATCATGGCAACAGTAGACTTGACAACCATTTGCATATACATCTTCGCCAGTCAAGGACCATTTAATCGGCCGAAGTCTCAACATTAACCCTTGGCAGATTTCACCATGATTTACTATATGTCGCACGCACTCAAGCGATTACAAGATTCACTTCGGCTCATTTGCATCACCCAATCAGAACTCACGAAAGAAACTGCACTTTACTTGGTGAAATTAAAATGGCGGAATCAAATAAACATGTTTTTTTTTTCTGAACGACCTTACTGATCACCAAAAGAAAGCCCTTAGTGCTGTATCTGAGGAAAATAACGTGTTTGTTGCAAACACAGTTCCTCGACCGAATCGGGCAAGTGGATATGTTATCAGTTTCGACAGTTTTGTCAGTTTACTAAAACACAGTTTGCACAAATATTTAAACATTCCATCGTCCTCATTCACTTGCCCACAAACAATTTTCAAAGTTGGAATAAGAAATAGATCTTCTGTTCTTGACTCCAGGTGAATCAGAGCAACTCTGATTGGTGGCGCCAGTTCCTTGGCGCGTCCAATCAAATGGCTCAATTTAGCTGCAGTGAAATACAGCTTTTTCTAACACGATCACGCACGGGTTCGTGGGCCGGTTTTGAATGACCGGCTTTAGCAAAACTGTGCGATTCGGACGTTGTTGCATATATGGTCAATTAACATTAGGTGTGAATCCAAGTGGTGTTCCGTTACGCCTAGATACGATCCTAGTAATATAGCATTCAGAATTACGCAAACATCACACAGGATATGAAATATGATATGTATCTTGGGAAATACAATGCCTTATGTTCATTTATCGGTTCAAGTATTGCGCCGGGAAATTCTTCATCCTTACGCAATCTCCAGTTCATTCATCCAATAAAATCTATGGCCCGTTGTTTTTAGGGGCGTATAAAGGGTAACACGCAGGTTTGATTCTAGGCTAGATAATATTCTTTTAGAAACACGTTTATTTCACTAATTGCAAAGCCCGTGACATTCAGGGCTGGGAGCCGTGCATCCAGTCAGAGGGAAAGTAAAACTGTTGATCCTATGCGCTGTTCATCATTGTACGTAAACAATCTACGAATCCTTGTCAAGTAGCAGCAGATTGCCGCGTGATGTCTGGAATTTACCTGTTTATATCTTTAATTCTGACACTTTCCATTACTGCAACCAAGTTTATCTGAATAACTACATTTATCATATGAGCAAATCTCAGCGGTTTTCATGGTTTTAGCTGAAGCAATACACTGCGGTATTTGATCCACACCACGCGATATTTTTTGAAATCGTTAATATTTTTTAGCTGGTTCAAACGATACCAACGGAACCAACAACGTAACATCAAGTCATAAGATAAAAACTGTATTCCGCAAGTGCGTCATATTTACTCAGTATTTGCAAGATGTTCTAGAAAAAAGACTTTCAGAGAGAATCTAGGAAATTAAATTGTATGATGTTTGAAATAATCTCAACATCAGTTATTAGTATTAATCACAATCTCTTTAAATACATATCCCCCGCGCTTGACTGTCGCGTTCTTGCCATTTATAGTTCTCATTGTCTTGTTTTCTTACTAATATAGTTGCCCATAGAATAAAGACCGCACGTTATTTAAAAAAACAGACACCTATATTAAGTCTGAGTTCGAATTCTAATATACATGGGAAAACAACTGCGATGATTAAATAAATGAACACACGAACAGAAAAATGGCTCCCATGGCTAAGAGTAGTAGCCAAATTAACAACAACTCATTGACATTGACAACTCACAAGTATGAAACTCACCAACGCCACCCAGCCAGTGACGCTCTGTGATAAATTTCACATATTAAATTCTGTCGTTCATATAACGGGCCCTGCGCGGTGAATCCATATGACAACATTATAACACATTCTTCCACACGTTGCTATGCTAGCACCTAGTGATTACACCGTGCAAGTTCACGCAGATGTCAGGGACACTAATAATGCAAAAATAAGTATTGTACGGGTCAGATTGCAATATCATTGTCGTTAACGGTGTAACATGTAACTAGCACTATCATACCTGGATGACCTTTGACTACAAAAGTTGCTTTACATATCTCAGTCATTGTTGATTATTGTTCAGATCCCTATTCGACGGATTGACTGCAGTACGTTGATTTGTTTTACTCGTGGAACCAAGGCAAAGCGTCTCTGATATCATGAGTGGTGAGATCGGGAACCTGAGTCCTAAACAGGCCGAAAAACTCGAAGAGGTAATTCACTTGTTTTATATTGTTGTATAGAAAGAACGTAGTTTTGTGCGGGAACAATTTTAGTACTGGTAGCTTCTAATTTGCTACTTTTTCCCCTGCGACTATCTAGAGCACGGTTGTTATGCCTGCTTATTTTAGAATTTATTAAATGTACGCTATATCAACTTAGTTCTAGCACAAACTAGGACGTGTAAGGGGTCAAAGGTAGATAGACTTTTCATCAGACGATGATAATCACTGGGTGATAGTGCATGGTAGATGATGGTTAATGGGGATTTTACTACTAATGTGAATGACGTAACTAATGAACTTGAATAACATGTGACATATATCAATATTGCATTCACAATACACCGAGCTATAACCTCATACGTAACTTTCCCTTTACATAATCTCGCAGCATGAATTTGTTTCTTTCATATTGCAATACGGTTGTGCATAGATTGCATAAATTGAGAGTGAGTAAAGAGTCACTACATAAATACAGTATGTGAGCTGAACTTGGTTTATCGAATGTCCAGCTATAATTTTATTTGATTCAACAAATACTTACCACGAGAACAGTAGATTTGTGTGTCAGGCTTGTAAATAATTTTAAATAAAAGCTGTTTACACCAGGATCCATTGAGTACAATATATTACAATAATACTATAATTCAAGTAAACTGAGATATATTGTTACAATTACAGATAAACTAACATATACATTGCAACTTCCGACACGTGATACGAAATTGTGATTACGGCAAATGCTGCGTCACACTGACTGTCCAAGAAAGTTTAATCTCGGATATTACATTCAACATGTAGCATATAACTAGCCCTGCGTACAGTGCTGTGTGTACGGGGACGCGTTCGGTTGATAGATGTCCCCACCACAGCCCTGCGTACAGTGCTGTGTGTACGGGGACGCGTTCGGTTGATAGATGTCCCCACCACAGCCCTGCGTACAGTGCTGTGTGTACGAGGACGCGTTCGGTTGATAGATGTCCCCACCACAGCCCCGCGTACAGTGCTGTGTGTACGGGGACGCGCTCGGTTGATAGATGTCCCCACCACAGCCCTGCGTACAGTGCTGTGTGTACGGGGACGCGTTCGGTTGATAGATGTCCCCACCACAGCCCTGCGAACTTCCATAGACAAAGTCCTGGACTTTGAAAAATATAACTTTTTTTAATGAAATAACATGACCAGGTACCCAACATGATGATCGATTACCAGATATATCCAGAACTCCCAGTTCGGAGTCCAATTGTGGATGAAATCGGCTACTTTGCCCTAAAAACAAACGCATTCTCTCGCGTGAATGAAATTAAAAATGGCGGCGTTTGGTGGATAATTCCTCCGGAACCTACGCGTTTACAGTTTGTCCGTCTTTACTAGTTGTTATTTAAAGACATCTCAGTTTCAGATAACTTTGTAATGGTTGTTACGGATAACTATCGTCATTTCAGCCAATTTCGGCTGGGAAACTACTTATTTTTAACTTGCGCACCAATTACGGTGCGCTCCCGAACTTTGTCTATGGAGGTATGCAGGTCTGTGGTGGGGACATCTATCAACCGAACGCGTCCCCGTACACACAGCACTGTACGCAGGGCTACATTACACGTAGAATAAATGTTGTCCCGCCCGAATTTTTCTTCTTCTTAAAGTGTACAATTGTTGCTGGCATGTTTTTCATAAATGTATAACCCAGTCATCTTAAAATGATCGAAATCGAACCCTATCTCCAGCGCCGCAACATTTGAACAAATACAAACAAACGTTGAATATTTGATAATTCCCGACGAAACTCTCTATAGAGGGGGAGGGTGGGATATATTTTGGTTCAGTTCGGCCCTGTGGGTCACATGACAGTCCACACGTAGATCATTCTTCTATATTGCTAGTATTTTAACTGAGTGAAGTACGATATTATCCATGCTTATGGCTATTGATACACACGCTCGGTTTCCTGAATTAAATTGTGGTAAAAATGAATATATTTGTTTTTTCTTATTTTAACCAGGGCAAACTCCCCATGGATATTCATTCACCATTGGATTTCTGTTTTAACAAAATAGATTGCTCTGTGATTCTTCGTTATACAATGAGCCGTCGGCGTGGAGATCGTCGAGGCGTCGGCATTGAGGTCACATAGTTAGTGCTAGCAGACAGGTGGTGTAACGCGTCGACTCCAATGGATGCACGCGTATGCCGCCGCTGCCCGTATCTTTAATAACCACTTGAACTTGAATATGAACTCCTTTGTAAGGAGAAGCGTGTCTATGTAGGCAGCAATGCTATTCAAGGAGTTAGCATTTGAAATGTTTTTGTTCTCTAACCTTGACCTGGAGAAGAGTTTTTCTTCGTTTATCACAAAACAGGACGCCCTCGAGCAGTTACCACCTGTTCAGCATGTGCATTTTGCGGACCATGTAAATTCAAGTTTTCTTTCTAACGAAGTTATATACTAAACACATTTGAAATGTTGCATCTCGTACATATGGGCAGACTTTCTTATCGAATTTTTTAATTATTATTCACTGTTGTGTTTATGCGATTTCTTCGTCTTCAGAAATATTCTCATCATTGCACAGACAACGCCACCTTCTGCCATTGATTCATGACCCTGTCGTAATTGTTCTAAAACGAAA